ACTTACTATAAATGCCCGATTAGGGCTTCAGGGCACACGAGAATCAGAAGCCTTTTCATGTCGCTCCTAGGAGGCCACGGATCCCTCATGGCAGGGAAGATTCTCCAGTGTTGGGAAGCATCTTGCCGGCAAAGAAGCAAAGTGAAGCAGTGCAGATGCACTGGGTTCAGGTTGGGGCTCCAGCAGTTTCCATTTGCTGGATGCTGGGCAAGCCATTCTGCATGACTGAGACTCGCCTCCCTCACCTGGTTCGGGGACGGTGACACCTGCCTCGGAAGGCGTTCATGTTGCGCCCCAGCACGGCTGCTTCGTTGGGTGGAGCCCCCCACCTGCCCGGGCAACAGGTGTGGCCCTCCGGGAGGCCATCCACCTGCCTGGCCATGGCTGGCTTTCCCACTTTCTTCCTCGTGGTCCCAGCCGGGACGGGTATCATCAGCACAGCCCACTTCCTGTCCCTGGCAGTCCTCGGATTACAACCTGACTTGTCCATAAGTGTTAACCCCCCCAGTATTGACAAGAAACTTCAGAAGTTTCTGAAAAGCTCAGCTTACATCCTCACTTTGGAAAATGCATTGAAAGTGGACCTGGAGGGGCAGCTGGGTGGCTCAGTCGTTAAGCCTCTGCCTTCGGCTCGGGTCATGATCCCGGGGTCCCGAGATCGAGCCCCGCATCGGGCTCTCTGCTCAGTCGGAGGCCTGCTTCTCCCTCTCCCTCTGCTGCTCCCCCTGCTTGTGCTTGATCTCTTTCTCTGTCAAATAAATAAAATCTTAAAAAAAAAAAATGGACCTGGGAGAGCTCAGAGCTAAGAAGTCGGTTGATGGAAGGTAAAGAAGGAAGACAAAGCTGGCTTGGGAGCTCCTCGCTCAGGGCCCTCCCCTCCCTTTTCTGATGGCTTCTGTGCCAGAGTTTGGGCGCCCCTCAGCTCTGCTCAGTCCATGCACCCTGAGAGGGCTGACCGTCAGGGTCAGCCTACACTGTGGAAGGCGCTGAGGGCAAAGAACTGAAAGTAGCCCATTTTCTATCTTTCCAGACTGGTCTGGGCCAAAGTGAAGGCCTTCTCAACTCAGTAGGAGATTTTGAGCAAGGTGTGCCCTGCGCATGAAGGAGAGCGAGATGGGCAGGGAGGTGACCCCCACGGCCTACCTGTTGGGGACCCCGGGCCAGAAGCCAGGCTCCCCAGAGTGCAGATTGGGGCCATGGAGCTGTGTCACCTCCACCCTGATGGTTCTCAAACTCCTTCCTTTTGGTCTGCTTCTCGGTCTGTGCAGGGAATATATAAAAAGTGACAGCAGGGCTCTGGGAACGCCGGAATGTTCTATTACCACTCCAGGGCTTTTTTCACAGGCCGCGGTGCCCAGCGGTCAGGGGCTGGGTGGCCTGATGGAGCATTCCTTCCCCCGCTACCTCTGCAGAGAAAGCGCCTCACTCTATTGCTCTAAGTATGTCCTCTTTAATGTTACCATTTTATTTTTAAAAGCAATGAGCTACTGAGTTTCTTTTGCAACAGAGAGGAGGAAATTGAGGATTCAGGATTCAGCGGTTGGCTTTTCCCACTGAATTGTCCCCGCTGCATCTTACCTGTCACGAGGCTTGTATTCCCAGATTCGAAAGCCTGAGTCTGGGTCCAGGTGGCCCCCTTCCCTGGTGTCTGCATCCTTCAGACGGAGCCTGCCTCATTTCTGGCTCCGTTTCCGGTGTGAGCACACCCCCAGGGGGCAGGTGCAGGGGCCCGAGACCTTTCCAAGGGGGGCTCTCCTTAGCCTGAGCCGGGCCTGCACTGTGAGGCCAGTGCTACTCACAGATCCCCATTTCACAGATGAGGAGACTAAGGCACGGGGCCACTGTGCCAGGTTCCCGCAGCTAGTTAGCGATGAAGCCAGACTGCAGCCCAGTCTGATTCTAGAGCCCCCCCTGCCCCTGCTTTGACATGGGAGGTCGTAAATGGTGCTCTATCATCCTTATAGCAAACACTGTGCTTTGCACTTGTGATCGACTCCCCAAGCAGTGCTCATGGCACAGAGGGGAAAGTGAGTCTCACCTGCCTGAGGTCACACGGGCTGGGGCCACGGGGCTGCACTCCAAGTTCACCCCATCCTGGTATTACCCAGAGCCGTACCTTCCCTGGACAGGCTGTACCCCGGGAAAGCACAGGCCCACGGGAGGACTCTCCTCCTGGCTGAACCGTGAGCTGCGGGGGGGCAGAGACCCTGGCCTGCTCGCCGTGGAGAAGCTTCTGCGTCGTGCCCTGTATGAGATGCTTGAATGTCCATGCATCGAGGGAGGCTCAGCCTGCTCCCCGCAGCCCTTGCCCCAGGCCTGTGCGCCAGGCTGAGATCTCACATCCTAATTTGCTTCTAGAGTGAGCTCCGGCACCGCCCAGGTGGTCACTGAAAAGGTACCTCGCGGTGCTAGATGCCCCTTCAACTGCTGGCTTCAGGAGGCACGGTGGAAGGTGGCCAACTGGGACGTGTTTGTGCCTTAGTATTCGCTCAAGTCCTCTCCTGTGTAGCCCCGGACATGTGCCCCACCTGAGCCTGCTGCCATGTGTATCGGCTTCTTGCCTTTCTGTCCTGGGAGGTGGCCGGGGCAGGGCGGCCACCGTGGGCTCCGAGGTCCTGCCCCTGGAGCCCGGTCTGTGTCTGCCCCTGCCCCTGGCCTGTCAGCCCGGCCTGTGCCGGGAATCCGAAAGCCGTGGCCTTGGCCTTGAGACAAAAAGCACATCTTAGCTTTTAATACTGAGACTATATATAGACTTCTGGGGGGGTGGCCGTGAGCGGCGGGGAGGGGAGAGCGAGTTTACAGAAAAATGCATTCGGGCCGGGAAGAAGATTAAATACCGGGGCCAGACCTGATTTGGGACAGGGAAATTGATAAACAGACTTCAACGTGATCGAAGTGTTCTAGAGAAGCTGATGTTGATTGTAATCCGGGAGAACTCCCCCCACGCTGAGCAAAGAGGAAGCTCAGGAGCACACTGGATTTGGCAGAGGCCTCGGTAGACTGTGCAATTAGCGTGTTTCTAAGGAATTATCTGGACCCAGTTGTACTTTCTAAATTCGTTTCTCTTTCGTGTTAATGCGTTGTTTTGTGGGTTTTTTTTTTTTTTTTTTTTGGAAATTTGGACCTACAGACAAAAAGACCTATTTTCATTGTTTAAATTAAATGTCGCTTTTATGGAGTCCCTCGTGTCAGCTGTACTTGAATATTTAATTTGTTTCGTGGAAGTATAACTTCTGTCGAGCGAAATGTGAACTCCCGGAAAGAGATGAGTAGGTTTCTATAAAAATGCATGTGAGTAGCAAGCTTGTCCCTCAGTCCTGATTGGCTCCCCTGGGGATTTCTATGGGGTGGTTGAGAGGGGCCCGGCAGGGGTGGTGACAGCAGGAACAGGCCTCATGGGACTGGACAATCCCCATTCCTGCTCCTGCATTCACTCCTTGCAACAGGGACTTGACCCCACAACTCGCTCTCTCTGGCCAGACAACATTTGCACCTGGGAAACGGAGTTTGCACCTGGGGGAAGGAGTTTGCACCTGGGGAAAGGAGTTTGCACCTGGGGAAAGGAATTGGCACCTGGGAAAGGGATTTGCTCCTGGGGAAAGGAGTTTGCACCTGGGGAAAGGAGTTTGCACCTGGCGAAAGGATTTGCACCTGGGGAAAGGAGTTTGCACCTGGCGAAAGGATTTGCACCTGGCGAAAGGATTTGCACCTGGGGAAAGGGACAGAGCGGGAATAAGAGAGCTGCAGACACTTGATCAGGACCCGCTGACATTCAGAGGCCGCCGAGCTGCGGACACAGATCTCTAGGACACTTGGCAGACGGGCCTGGATTGAGAGAACGCGCGTGCCCGGGCTCTGGGCGTCCTGCGTTCGTTTCTCTTTCACCGGAACATGGGGAGCAGGGCTATCTCAGGCCAACAAGCTCCGCACTGAAGTGGGGAGCCCATTGGGGGCTGATTGCATCTGGCCCAGGGGGCGACCAGAGTGGTCTGCCCTGCGTGGCTTGATTCACGACCTAGCAGCCCTGCGGCCGCTTCCCCACCTGCCCGGAGACAGCCCTCCCTGCCCGCCCAGCTCCCTGCACTTCTGCACAGCCCACTGTTGCTGGGGCAGCCCGGGAGGGGCCCAGCCTGGCAGGGACAGTGGAAAAGCCGGGGACAGACTCCCTTTCAGGAGACTGTCTCAATTTAAAATGCCATCTTGTTCCTCTGACTGCTTTTTCCATGCTGTTGAGGTAAGGTGGTTTTTTGTTTTTGTTTTTAAAGCGTCCCATGTTCCCCCAGAGGCTGCATTCCTGTCCCTATCACTCTGTCGCTGGGGCAGAGGATATTTATGATCCCGGGGATTTCTGCTTGACTGTCCTTTTACCCGGGAGCACGTCATTCGTGGTGGCTTTGAACGGTACCAGGGAAATGAAGCTGGCTTATCATTCTATAGCGGGAGTGGGGAACAGGGGCCAAAGAATTTTGTGACTGTGTTCCTACTCTGCCCCGTCCTTTGAGTATTTTAAATTTCAGCAGATTCGTACTTACTCGTGTCGACGCTCCCTGAGCCTTAGTGAACTGACCTGTGTGTGTGTGTGTGTGTGTGTGTGTGTGTGCACGCATGCGCGCATGCGCGCGCAAGGGGGTGACGGGGCACCGGCCGCTGCACCCCAGACCCTGGGAACAGACAGCAGGTGGACTCATCAGTTAGGATGTGGGTCGCTCCATTTGTCTGTGCAGTTGGTCCCGCTGTGAAATGTCCAGCCCCAAGACCACCAGCGGTATTTGACACGCGTTCTGGCGCTTCCTGAGACAGGTGGCTGGGGGGCAGTTCGTCCGCTCCGGCCTGGCCATGCGCCCTGTGTGCCCCAAGGTGTCCTGGCATCTCAAGAACTTCCTGCCGTAACCCTGCATGCCCCGCCACGGCGGTTACCTTTTCTGTTGGATCTCGATGCAGCATTTATTCCTGGAAAACCCAAGTGGCTCATCTGTAAGCGTGCTCTTTGTATGTTGCAGGATGTGAGAGTCTTCAGTGAGGACGGGACGAGCAGAGTGGTGGAGATAGCTGCAGACATGACAGCCAGGGACCTGTGTCAGCTCCTGGTTTACAGAAGTCACTGTGTGGACGACAATAGCTGGACGCTCGTGGAGCACCACCCGCACCTGGGGCTAGGTAGGGAGCATGCTGGGGGGCCCGGTGCACAGCCCACGGAGCCCCTGCCCCGACAGCGAGACTTTTGCGTGCTGTCCCCTCTCTGCCGCACACCTGTTTCTCCTGCCTCCCTCCCAGCCCCCCCTTCCCCCCCCCCCCCCGCTGCTTCCAGAAGCTTGCTCTGGGAGGGTGGCAGCGCCGTTCCCCAGGGCGCACACACAGCAGGAAGGTTCTCTCTGTGATTTGGCTGGAGAACTGGCTGTGGCAGGTGCTTGGGGCCAGATGCACAGCTGCGGTCTGGAGAGGGCAGCCTGGCGGGGCTTGGGGGGTGGGGAGCACCATCCTGGGATCACTGCTCAAACAGCAGTTCATCCTCCTCACGGGAGTGGGGTGCTGCAGTGACGGCCTGCAGAAGTTGGAGTGTTCTGGTGTATCGCTGGGCTGGTTCACGATGTTCTCACTGAGCGCACACGCGTGTGTGTCGTGTGTAGAGAGCAGGAGGATATTTTGAAATAGGTGCCATTTACGGAACTTATGGAGATTTGGGGGTTTTGTGGGGTTTCTTGCTCAGGTGGTCTATTTCAGGTCAAGAAACTTTTCAGACTTCTGTTGAAATTCTTAGCAGATAATGTACGGTGCTTATAAAATCACAGGCACGCACTTAAAACCAGAATTTTCTCCAAATCCACAGCTGTATAAGACATCTTCCACGTGCTGAAGGAGAAAAACTATCACAGAGTTCTTCCCGTGGCTCTGAACTTTTCTCCTGAACCTTTCTGGAAGATTAAGAGATCAAGTTTAAACTTCCAGGTCTGGAATATTCATGTAACGAAATAGTGTTCTTTCCAATGATGTTCTACAATCCAAGCCTAAACACTGCTACGTAACTTTGAGTCGGCGTTCTTTTGTTTTAAGATTTTATTTATTTTTTTGTTAGAGAGTGAGCGAGCACAAGCTGGCTCTCCACTGAGCAGGGAGCCTGATGCGGGGCTCAATCCCAGGACCCCGGCATCATGACCTGAGCCCAAGGCAGACGCTTAACCGACTGAGCCACCCAGGGCGCCCCTGAGTTGGTGTTGTCTTAAGTTACTGCAGCAACAGGTGACCTGTTGGCAAGCTCCAGTTTGGGACACCCACGAATGGATCCTACACTGATCTGATGGAGCCACCAGCAGCATCTACTGATGCACACATAACTTGGAAATTAAACAACAGTTGCAACCCTGCAGCATGTATGGACGCGTACACATGCCAAGCATGCATATATACACATTTGTACATACATGCATACGTGCACACGCAGAATGGACTTCAAAGACACAGCTCTGGACTTGGGCCCAATATGAATATTCTTGAAGCCCATTCAAAAGTCTGAACGCTCTTAATTTGAAAGGAATTATAGAAAGGCCTTCTGCAGATACCGTAACACAGGAATATGTTTGTCCACACCAAGAGCGCGTATAAAATGGGGCAGGTACGCTCAAAAAAGTTGAACATACAAAGACTGTGAGAAAGGTTCACATATTTTTTGTGGTAGCTCTTGATTTCTCGAACATCATGCCAGAGATAATTTCTGTAGGGCAGAACTTCAGAAATCATCACCCACATGAAAAAGAATTTATTCTGAGAAACTCGTAAAAGAAATACACATGCACACTCAGTATTCTTTTTTTTAATTTAATTTTATTATGTTATGTTAGTCGCCCTACAATACATCATTAGTTTTTTGATGTAGTGTTTCACGATTCATTGTTTTCATATAACACCCGGTGCTCTGTGCAGAGGGCACACACGGTATTTTTAGGGATACGATAGTATTCTCTTTTATTCCTTATTTTTCTTACTCACAGATGGACTTAACATACTCTAAAGGGGTGATTTTTTTTTTTCTAAGGTTTTATTTATTTATTTGAGAGAGTGTCAGCCTTGAATCCCCGCGATCAGGCGTGAATGCGCTCGCCTGGGGCAGAATTCTTCAAGGGATGATGTTCTGGGGGCGCTTCTGGGTTCTGGCACGCAGTCAGGTGACCCCCCCACTCTTGGGCAGAGCCGTCCAGTCCCACGTCCCCAGTTACAGGACCCTCTGGAAAGTCGCTTTCTCTGTTGTGTGTTGGGGATGCTCTGGGGACCTGCACATACACGAGGCCTGTGGTTTGGGCGCCAGGCAGACAGACCCTCAGATCTGGAAGGCTGATACTAGGCAGATGGTCACCCCCGATAACTGAGGCATAAGTGAGCTAATTCCAATGGCACTTTGAGCCTACGTATAGCCTTTGAATTGAGGATTTCAAGGCATAATGACTACCCTGATCTTCGCAGGTAAAATATTAGAGCCTTAGTGATATTAAACTTTTCCCCAGCCAGGAGTGACTATTGAGAAAAGGTGGTTTTGTTTGCACTAGCAGAAGACCACACATGCATGCATGTGGTTGCAGCCCTCGGCGGCCCCCGTGGGTGGGGGGCGTCATACTCGGTTGGGGGGGAGCAGGTGCAGAGGTGTCGGCTGGTGCTCGGCGGGCAGTGTCTCTGGCTGGTGGGAATGTTCCTGCCTGGTTAGTGCCTTTCTTCAGCCCCAGCGTCAGCTCCTGAAGTCACTTAACCACTTGAGGCCCTTTGACAAGTTGGGGCAGAGCCCTTAGTGATGGATGATCTTAGGGCAGCTGGTCTGTGCCTTGTGACTCCCAGCTCTGGCTGTGGATGTGATCTCTTACGTTAGCGAGACATACACGTCGTGCCTGTTGCAGGGCGGGGTGGAGGGGGGTCTTGGCCTCGGTCTTTTGCATCGAGCACTCAGCCTTGCAAACACTGTCCCTGACCGAGGCCGCTCAGCAGCCACCGGGGCCAGGCGGGGGGCCGGGCGGTGCAGAACGGGACGCGCACGGTCCCGCCGTCCACCCCGAGCATGTGAGTGGTGAGGCTCCGGAGGGCTCCCTGCCACCGGGAGGCCTGCACCTGGGGGGCACGTCAGGAGAGCTAACAGCCAGCCTGCAGCTGTGTCAAGTGAACAAATGATTTTTTTAAAGGGATTTTGTAAAACTGTTAACTGGGGCATGCAGATGGCATCCTGGTGCCCCCGTGGCGTTGACAGTGTGACTGCAGGTGAGCTGCTCCCTGCGAGGGCGGGGGTGCCCCCACCCAGGCCCTGGGTGACCACAGGCACCAGGCCGGATGAGCAGGGAAGCCCAGTCATCGTGGAGCACGGTGATGGGAAGACAGCTCCCGGGAAGTCCGGGGATTTGGGGAATTTTGTTGCGAGAATTAGGTTGCAGCCCTCCAGAAAAAGGCCTGAGCTCTCCGTTTGGGCCGTTGACAGCGTTGTGTGTGTATCTGGCCAGGTGAGAGGGGCACGGTGGTCACCCTCTGAAGGACCTGGCCACAGCAGGGACGCTGCCATCCGGACGTGCCGACAGGTGTCGAAGGTCAAACAGCTGCCGTGCTCAGCCCTCGGTGCTCAGAAGGGCCTTCGAGGGCTGACCTTTCCCACCTCTGTCTCCTTGTCATGCCAGCGGAAAGGCACCGGAATGCTGGTTGTCGGGTGTGTGCAGACGTCGGGGCTGTTTTCTGTGGTATCTCCCCCTTGACTTTGTTCGTAGTCCCCAGGCCCGCAGAGCCCCGAGCCGCTGTCACAAGCGTGCTGACAGCCGGCTCTGCTCCCTGCGGTGGCTGGGCCGTGCAGGTGCAGCCCCAGGAGCGGGGCTGCAAGGCGGGATGCTGCTGCGAGCCGGGGCGGGCGGCTCAGGCTTCTGCCAAGGACTTGCTTGTCCACGCCGCATTTTAAGGCAAATGCCTGCCCTTTTGAGTTGTGTGATCTGTAACCTTGCCAGTGGAGTAGGGTGGTGGCGTAGATGCTGGATTTGGTGTCAGAACGTGGAAAAAATACGAATCCCCTTTGAGGAGTGTCCAGCTCTTCTGTTTGTACAAAGAAATCCTTTGGGATTTTTGATGAAATGTCGCTTTCCGTTGTGATTATAGGAAGCTGATGGATGGCAACGGGGTTGTTTAATAGACTCACCTAAGGTTGTTTGAAAATACCTGTTTTTGGAATAATAGGGAAAATGAGAACTGGAGAAAAAGACTTGGAGCTGAAGTTGGCAGAGTGGCTTTTTCACAGCTGGGAAAAGTGGTGTGTGGACATCCCGTGGCAGACGGGGTCTCTGGGAAGGGGGTCACACACAGTCTTCCTGAGCCCCCTGCTGGCCCAGGCTCCGGGCCCCCTGCGGGTTGGAGAAGGGGAGCCACCTGTGGGTACCTGAGCCCCCACGGGTGGTGCCGGGGTGACCCGGAGTAGAGGAACACACCCCTTTCAGGGCGCATGGGTTCCCCGCTCCCCTCTGCCCAGCCGCCCTGGGCCCAGTCTGTGCGCATCTGTCCCGGGATCTTGCCACGGTGGTCGGGACGTGGGGAGGCTGGAGGAGGGAGGCCCGTGCGCATGTCCGCGTGTACCCCTCGGAGCTGCTCCCTCCCCACGGGTCCCCCGCGGCTTCCTAAGGAGCCTGTGCGGAGGGAACGCTCTGCTTTGGAACGTGGCATCGGCTCGTGCTCACTTAGGTCGCTATAACCCCGCTGGTCTATTTTTCCATATTTCATCTGGTGAAAAATTTCAGGTTTGTGAACCAACCATAAGCCGGTTTGCAATGCTTGGCTTTTGTCCCTAGACCTACAGAAATGGTTTTTCCTGACTAAACTTCAGAACAGAAGTCACTGATCAGTTTTGCCCCAGAAAATCCATTTTAAATGAATGCCAACCTGAGCCAGTCCCCTTTTCTGAAAGTAAAGACAGGGGTCGAGATCTAGCACTCAAGCCGGGCGTGGCTCCTCCCTCCTGTCGTGGGGACACGCGGGGCAGGGTCGTGGGTCCCTTGTTGCCGGCAGATTCCCTCGCAGCCAGAAGCAGGCGGGCCTGTTTGTGGCTCTTGGCCGGCACCAGGCGTGGCCCTGGACCTCCTCTTAGTTCACAGCGTGTGAAGAGGAACCGATCGTGAGCCAAATGTCGTCCCTGGGGGAAGCCACCTTGCAGGTTCTACCTGTATCTTCTCACACATACGTTTTTTTCTTCTGCAGAAAGGTACCTGGAAGATCATGAGCTGGTGGTCCAGGTGGAGAGTACCATGGCAAGCGAAAGCAAGTTTTTATTTAGGAAGAATTACGCAAAATACGAGTTTTTCAAAAATCCTACGGTGAGAGTTCTTATCTCTTTGGGTTCGGGGTTTGGGACTCTTGCAGTCTTGGGGTTGATATTTGGGAACAGTAGCAGCAGAGGGTAACGTAACTGAGGTGGATGTAGGGGGGCGGCAGAAGGGTTTGGGAATCCGGGGTTGCTGTCTCACGCCGCCGCCCTTGCTCAGAACTCAGTCTCTGATGCTTAACTATAAATGCCTTTGTGTAGTGGCCAGAGGTAACGAGTGTGTTTTTCCACGGTAGCAGAGGGAAAGGGGGTTAGCCTCTGAGTCGGGAGAGATGAGGGGTGGGTTTTTCAGTTATATCAGGGGTTCATGGTTAAATTGGAACAGATCGGTTCAATATGCAGCAGAATAAAAACTCATTGCTCTCTGCAAATAGCAAATAATACTTCGTGGTTCGTGGAAGAATGAGTTTCCAGGCACGTTGGGCTGGATCTTTCTTTCTTTTTTATTTTTCTGGGGGGCGGTGTGGGGGAACACGTATCCTGTGACCTGTCAGGATCGGGAGCCTCCCACTGCCCTACCATGCGCTCCTTTCCTGAGGTATGAGGCCGAGCCGTTGTGACGTGAGCAGAAAACCCACCGTCAACTTCTGGCTCCGTGGTTTAGCTGCCTTTTTATTTGAAAGTAAGAGGTTTGATAACTGATTTTGCGTAACACCGTGTGGCGACCCTTGGCCTTGGTGCACGCTGAGAGACGTGAATCCACATTAAACGTGAGAGATACTCCAACCTCGAACTCGCCTTTTAAGGAAACATGGCAACTTTTGAAGTAGGCGTTTCCACCATGGGGTAGGGGAGGAAGAAGGAGCATCATTTTAAATACAGACAGACGTCCGCGCACCTCTTAGGAATGTTTTTAATACTGGCATCCCCGTAGGGCTGCTTTTCCCCACTTTTAAACTAACCTGATGGGTTTGTTTTCCCATTTCCACAGAATTTCTTCCCAGAGCAGATGGTTACTTGGTGCCAGCAGTCAAACGGCGGTCACAACCAGCTTTTGCAGGTACTGGGCAAGAAAACGTTTCTGGGTGGACATTGTCTCGCGCTGTGGTGGCGGCTACAAGCCTCGACGGGGCTGCATTCTCCGTCATGTCCTAGTCTTGGCCCCCGACGGGGTTCAGAGTACCCAGAAATAAAGGTTGACTTGGGAAACGTGTGTGCAGCCAGGCTCCTTCGAAGCGAAACAAGCACTTGTAAACAGGATAAGCTTCCTCCGACCTAGAGGCAGCGTGAGCAGAAGGGCGGGAGAGAGAAGCCACAGGCCGGCGCATTGTCCTCCAGGCTCCCGGCCCCTCCGGAGCTCGGGTCCTGGGTCAGGCCGCCGCCCTCGGGATTTCTGCACAGAGACCGAGCCCCCTTACCGTGAAAAAGGATTGGGCTGCCATTAAACCTTTTAAAAGGGAGCAAAGTATACATTAAAAGTAGTTACCTATCTGTCTTCGTTGTCCCTCTGCCTTCTGAAGTCTGTTCACAAAAACCTGGCCTTTCCCCAGCCCCTCCCCGTGGGCGGCCCGCTCCAGCCTCGCTCCCAGACTTGGCTCTTGACCTCCGTTTCCCAAGAAAGGTGTGCTGCAGGTGGGAGGGGTCAGCTGGGACAGCGGCGTCACCCAGGCCTTCCTGGAGAGATCCATCAGCTCACTTCTCTGTGGAGGGCGACTCGGTGAAAGTGACGTGCTTGGTCTCCGTCCACACTGCTCCCAGCGCTTCCTGTCGCCCTAACCCTGATGATCAGGCTGCATGTTTCATGGAAACCCAGGAGGAAGGGCAGGGCCCTTAACCCTACCGTCTTATAGGGAAATCTATGACGTCCCGTTTTTTGTCAGCGTTAAGGAAGGTCCATTGGCTCGCGTGTGCTTGAAGACTCACGTTGTTTCCTGCACACCAATTTACGTGGGGTTTTAAGATTTTTGAAAGGAAAACTTACCATTTGAAAATGCTTGGTTTGACCAGAAAAGAGTATTTTTGTAATTCAGACGATGTCAAGATGTCCGTGAAGGCAGCAAGACACACCTGCTCTCGTCCTCCCCCCGCCCCGACATCCCGTACCAACATCTGACGCTAACGCATCTCTTCCACAGAACTTCCTGAACTCCAGTAGTTGTCCTGAAATCCAGGGGTTTTTGCACGTGAAGGAGCTGGGGAGGAAGTCGTGGAGAAAACTGTACGTGTGTTTGCGGAGATCAGGCCTTTATTGCTCCACGAAGGGGGCATCAAAGGTGGGTTTAAAAGCCACCATCATCACTCCAGGTCAGGGGCATTCAGAGTGGACGTGGCTTCCCTTGAAAATGCACGTCTGGGTCCCCCGAGCTTATGATAACTGGTTAAGCTACGTCCAAATTCCTGGTCCACTGGTCTCCCTAAGAAACCAGGCGACAGCCCAGACCCACGGGCCTCCGGGCCACTTGACCGCTGCATACCAGGGCAGCAGACTTGGTGCGGGCCGAGCATTGCAGCGTGCTCTTCACTTTGAACGTTAGGCTCCAGGTGTTCTCCTGGTTTTCACTTTGAATGTTTGGTTAGCAAGCTTTGATATGGCAGAGTCTCAATCACGTTGTCACGGTGCGGTTTTTTGTTTGTTTTTTTAAGGATTTTATTTACTTGTCAGAGAAAGAGAGCCCAAGCAGGGGGAGGGACACAGGCAGAGGGAGAAGCAGGCTTCCCGCTGAGCAGGGAGCCCCACATGGGGCTCGACCCCAGGACCCCGGGATCATGACCTGAGCCGAAGGCAGACGCTTAACCGACTGAGCCACCCAGGCGCCCCTGTTGTCACGGTCGTGGGAGGTGGGTTTTCTTGGCGAGGGCTGGGTGCATTTGGTCTAACTTAGCGCCGATTTCATAGGATGCGTGGACCGTCAGAGGGGAAGGCACACACAGTGTGCGCAGACTGCCCTCTGTTGACGAGCACGTGCAAGCGCATGCAAGCGCCTGCCTTCTCCTGTGCTTGGGAAGTTCTCCCCTGTGAAGCTGACCCCCCCTTTCCACAGGAGCCCCGACACCTGCAGCTGCTCGGGGGCTTGGAGGAGAGCAGCGTCTTCTCACTGATCGCCGGCAGGAAGCAGTACGGCGCCCCCACCGACTACGGCTTCTGCATAAAGGTATCACACGCACCGCCCTGTCTGGGGCCTGCGCTCCTGATGGCATCCCACCGGGACTTTGGAATGAAACCGTAAACTCCTTTCTTGCTGCTGGGGCTGTTTGGGTTGTTTTCTAATGGAAACACCAGTTCACGGTGGATTGATCACAGGTCGATCCCCGAGTAGCTAGCAGCTCGGGGAGAAGCAGAGGACGTGACGGGCGGTATGTGTCGATGGGCTCCGTGGCTTAGTGACCCTCAGCCTGTCACTTGGGTGGCCTCTAGGGTACCGAGAGCTGACACTTTCCGTATTGGCTTCCAGTCCCCGGGACGATGGGTGTGCCCCCTGCCCTGCCTCTGTGCATACGTGTGTGAGAGCACGTGCTCATGCATATTTCCACACATGCACACACCTACACGATCACACAGATGTGCACACATACATAGGCTCATACACATACACCCGCACACATGTGTGCACCTACATGAATAGAAGGAGATGCACACACGAGTACACGTGCACACATGCACACCTCTGCATGAATACAAGGACATGCACACATGCGCACATGTGCACACGTGCACACCTCTGCATGAATACAAGGACATGCGTACACATGCGTGCACGTGCACACATGCACGCCTCTGCACGAATACAAGGAGATGAACACACATATGTGCATGTGCACACATGCATACCTCTCCATGAATACGAGGAGATGTGCACACCTCTGCATGAATACAAGGACATGCACACACATGCATACGTGTTCACACACACCCCTGTGCGCAGGGCCCACTCTCCCCTGGTGAGGCCGTGCTGATGGTGGTCATGGTCACGGTGGAGGCTGTTTACTGCATGCTCACTGCACACAAGGTGCCCCGCTAAGGGCTCGCCCTCCGTCCCTTTACTGCATCTTTCCAGGTGCTCATAGGAGCTGAAGCAACCCCATTGCTCACATCCAGTCACCAGCGTGTGTGCTTGGAGTCCTCCAGCCGGGCTGACTTCTGAGCCAGGGCTCCACCCCAGCCCGAGGAGAGGTCAGGGAGCAGGGGGCATGCTGCTCCCTAAAATACCAGCTTGTACTTGATCTGGTGAAGCTTCTTGGGGTTGCAAGTAGCAGGAGCCCCAGGACCCGCGGTGCATGGGAAGGCAGCATGAGGGTGGCCTCTGGGTGGTCTGGGGTCCATTGGAGCCCCGGTGGCCAGTGTCCCCCCACCCCTTCCCACCAGCCCACACCTGCAACGCTTCTCCCCCATCGCCAGGTAAACCCCGCCTCTGCATCGGGGCACCTGCCATCCCTCTACAGTGGCCTGTGTGACAGTGACCCCTGCCTGCCCCAGGCCGCTTGCCCCCCCAATTCCCCTTCTCCGGGGCGATGCCAGCCTCACTCTCTGGACCTTCCATGGGTCCGTCCTTGGGGCCGCTCAGATACGCCACAGGCCCTGACCCCCTCGAGGGCTTCTCCCCTCGCTGGCTGAGCCCTGCAGGGGCCTTCCTCAGCCGCCACCTCAGTCTTCCTGGGAGGCGACCAGACATCTTTTCTTCCATAACTCTGGGCCTGGCTCTCCGGTTGAATCCAATTTTCCCTGCACAGACCTAGGCACCCCCTTGTCCCCATGGCACCCACTGCCTTCCCTTGCTAGAGTTTGTCTCCCCGAGATCCCCCTGTTGGGGGCTGGCCGAGCACTCGTGACTACACCTAGCCCAGGCTGGTCTGTGCGCGGCGGAGGAGGCACCCTCTCTGGTCGCGCCCTGCCGGCCGTCTGGGTGCGCGCCAGGCCCAGCTCTGCCCAACACGGACTCACCGTGTTGCACTCACTGAGTCGTCTCTGATCTCCTGTAGCCAAACAAAGTCAGGAACGAGACGAAAGAGCTGCGGTTGCTGTGTGCCGAAGACGAGCAAGGCCGAACGTGCTGGATGACGGCGTGCAGGCTTCTCAAGGTAGGTGGCGTCCTGTGTGTGTGCCCCACGCATCTCTTTGTGGAGAGCTCTCCCCATGGCCCGCCAGCCCCGTGTGCCCGCACGTCTTTCCAAACGGTCTCAGAAGCTTCTCACGAGGCTTCGCGTTAGAAAGGTCAGAGCCGGCTTCTGGCCTCGGCACCTGACCTTCAGGGACGTGGTGTTTCTCCCACCGAATGCGAGGAGCACCCCAGCCAGTTGAGACAACCAAAACCGTCTCAAGACGTGACCAGATGTCTCGGGGCGGCGGGGGGGTGCCGGCTGAGAGCCCGTGGTCTAGAGAAATAGGAAGAGAAAGCCCAGACCGGGAGACGGGGAGAGAGAACAAACAGTCCGTCAGGAGGGTCAATGCTCTCCAAGACTCAGCATCAGACTCTAGCTTCCCGAAAAGCCGGGGCCCCGAGGGAAACGTGGCATCTCCTGCCAACACATTCTTAAAGGGGTCTGTTGCACAGAACCTCACATGGGAAGATGCCCTCGGCGGCAGCTCACGGTGACTGCCAAGGGGGCTGGCCGAGCACTCATGACTGCACCCAAGGTGTTTCCTGTGGCAAAGGCTCGTGTAACAGCAGAGAACGTCTCACTTCTGCGTTCCCACGAGATGTCCCCCTGTGCATATCTGTGCGCCACGTGGTTGCAATTCTTATGTATATAAGGCCCGTGGGCATTGCACGGTAGTTGTGCACGCTGGTTGTGCAAGATGAATGGTGAGGGGTCCGGGAGGAGAAGTTGGTTTGGTCAGCTGTGGCCAAGGAATCTCTTTACGAAAACCCCAGCCTTCACCGAAGCTTTCGGCTGGGCAGAGAGTCAGGGCGGAGCCCCCTAGAGAAACGGACTCATGGAAGGAGGCGTAGCCCATGACCCCTTGGAGATGCCAGAGGGCACAAGCTCCAAGGACGGACATCCTGTAAGCCTCTCTTTACCAGAACCGTGCCTTGTTTGATTTTTGCTGCTGATAAAACAAAGAAGGGTTCAGCGTAAAATATTCTGATTTCATAATCAGGGAGTGTTGGTACAGGACATCGGCGACTCCTTTACAAGCCAGCTTCAGAAGTTAAGGGATGGCCATTCAGAGGAATACTCCTCGGTGTCACAAAGAACGAGGTTCTCTCTCGAGTGTGTTGTGGGAAAATTTCCAGGACGTATGATTAAGAATTAAAAAGCAAAGTGCTACCTTTGTTGTAGGAGCGAGGAAAGGAGACGCTAAAATGCATCAGTGCATTTGCTGGTGTGCACGTGAGCCCTCGGTGAGACTGGGGGGGGTACGGCGGGCACGGACCCGCACACACGGGGGCAGATGTGGGAGGGACACCTTGACGGGTTTCTGTACGTTTGTGATTTTCTGGATCTGCGGTTACGTAGTCTATTTTGGAAAAAGCAGAAAAGGACGTGGGAGCACATCTGTGACACCTGTGGGTTTGGTGCTTTGGGGTAGCACACAGTAAATCCAGGTGGCGAGGTCTCCCCCTCGGCTTCATGCGTGAGGAAGCAGAGCCAGCGGGACAGGGCAGGACGGGGCAGGACTCTCCTTGGGCCCTTGCATAATAGAACCGGGCACAGGGAGGGAAATGCGCAGAACGAGCAACGACAGTAACATCCAACTTTATTACTAGCGCCAACAGGAATGTGTCCCGTTGGATGTTAGCATATTGGGAACGTTTCATGAGCACTTGCTGTCAGCCGGGCTGCTCGTCACTTCTAACCAGCGGTCCCCTCCCCATCGTCATCCTCACTGGACCGATGGCAGATCTGAAGCCCATTGTGTCCTGCCCGGGGGGCTGGGGCTGGGGGTTGCTGGTGTGCGGCACGGTCGGCTCCAGAGCTGGCTCCGCGAGAGCCAGCAGGAAGGGGACACCCGTCCACGTGTGCACGTGGCCCGTTGCCTCCAATCAGCCCCAGACTCCACATCCCAAAGTGCCATTCCCGAAGGAGGCGAGGGGGCCTGGACCCAACGGCCACCAGTGTGGTCGTGACAGGCTCTGGGCCAGTGTGAGGTGATGCAGAAGCTGAGTTGCCTTCGGTCCCAGCTGGTTAGTATCGCGCCAAGGTGTCTTGCCGCCACCGAGCAGGCTGATGGACCTCATCCCGCGTGAGAATTCCTTACTTCGCCTTCCTCCCCTCCCTGTCCCGTCTCAAACGGTCTTGGCCTCAGAGCAGGAAGCTTAATCAGAAGACCATAGCCCCTCGCCTTGCATCCCGATGTTACCTTCAGAATGGGGTGTATTTTCTTCCAGGGGTTGGGACCATTTGAAGCCATGAGGAGACCTTATAAAGTGCCTTCTGTTCTCTCAGCCCAGCTCCTGGATGTGAGCATAGACTCAGGGCCCTCATCTGTCCATCTCCCTGACAGGGGACCTGACTGGGAGAAGGTCCATCCGTCTGTCCTCCCTGCGCTTGCTCTGTGCCGGGTCTCGGTCTGGACGTCATCTTGCCTGGTGCCCCCCACCATTCTCTTGGAGAGGCAGGACTGCCTGGTGCTCAGAACATAATAGATGCTCGGAAAAATTGAGCTGAATGACAGCAGGAACCACCCAAACTCTTGTGTTCGGCTGTGACCCTTTCTTTTTTGACACTCTTACTCCCTCTCGTCCGCCGGGTGTTCTGGGCAAGGCTGGCCTCGACCAGGGGCTGGCGGGGTCAAGGGGTGGGGGCTTGGACCTCAGAGAGTCTGGGTCTCGGGCCGGAGTCCCAGGGGTCTTGCCGGGGCAGACTAAGGAGATGCTGTGCTGCGCCTTTTCACGGTTGACCGGAGGTCTCGTCGGTACTAAGTGATGGCAGATCCCCCGAGCTTGAGCCCTCAGACTGTCCTGTTCCCCAGAAGGGGGTCAGTTGGACGTGTCCTCACGTGGAGGAAGCATTGCCTTTCTCCCGGCCTCGGTGTATCCAGGAGTCACTCCTGAGTGATGGATAATCCTGCACCAGCAGTTTGCGTTGTCTTAAAATCCCAGGGCTTGTTGGAGAGGAACACCTTATTTTGAATTAACCAAGGATCTTTCTGTGCCTCTAAGTACCGTCACAGGTATTCTTTAAAGAGGAGCTTGAGCCTGTGTAGGAGCAGATGGTCATTGCTGTCCTCAGATACGCTTAGGGGGATAACGCCGGCAGGTGGTACCTGCTGCTATTCCGCATTCCTTCCTATTACGTGGTTTGTTACATAATTTCATAGCCATGGGGGCGCTGTGGAGGGAGCATATTAGCTCCTCCGCCCCCTTCTAGAAGTTTCTGAAACTGCCGTAGAAATTCCTCCTCAGGCGGGGGGGCGTGGCTTCACAAGCGCGGGTTTCTGTAAGGAAAGCTTGGTGTAGCTACGCACCGGCACATGCGTGCGTGCAGGTTCCGTGTCCCTCAGAGGCAGTCGCCCCCTGCACACTGTCCCTCGAGAACCCGCTCAGGTTTCCTCTCCGTTAATAACCGAGTAACACTGCTGCTTATTTGTACGCCTCCCACAGGACCGTAGCTACCTCACGGTCGAAAGCACAGCGTGTACTTGCGTTGTGTTCCTGGAGCTGAGCCTGGCAATATGAATGATGACCCTAAACCCGGGTGCAATCTTGGCACAAGGAAATAAGCTTCTATGTCTCTTAAGAATGTAAATGTTAAATGTTTAATTCCATTCCAAGAGAAAGGGAGCAGCGACGTGTTCTTTAAGTTACTGTGTGCACCACCCATACCCATATGACATCATGTGTGGGGAGGCTGTTTCGAAACATGGCGCACGTTGAGTCTGTGGAGCCAAGAGGCGCCATTCTCCTTAATGTGGGAACGTCTCTGCGGTCCCTCTACAGACAGAAGCTGAATATCAGCTGTCACTCACCTGCCTTCTTGAGAAAGTGTCTGAGAGTGTCGCATCCAAGCAGATGGGAAGAGGAAATAAACATATTGCCAGAACAGGGGGCGGATAATTCTATGGCCACGCGTTCTTCCCTTCAAGCAACCGAAGGAAGCGTAAAGAAGAAAGATGGGTTGGACCATAAGTATCTCTTTAAAACCCACTCACCTAAAATAAAAAGGAAAATAATATTCAGTAATTGGCACTGTAGGTTGTGTATGGAGGGTAAGTAATCTAAAAACTGTCAAGGGCTTGTACCAATAACACGACCACTCTGAAGGCCGGAGTATTCATTTGTAAGTGGGCAAAACGAGAATTCCTAGTCATGGAGCTGCAAAAAGTAAGTGTGGGGAAGAGACAACTTCTTTGATAATTAAGGCAAAAATAATATTTAAAGACTGCAGTGCAAGTAAAACACAGTTTGATACCTGCTTAAAGACGAGCTGGTTACATGGTTCGTGGGTCAAGGACGAGTCCTTCGGCTGACTTACTGGGACGGAGAGTGGTCTTGGGGCCGTCCTGAACAGGGCGTGTGCATGTGTATGTGCATGCGTGTGTGTGCGCGTGCCTTTTCCCTTTTTCTTTGGCCTTAATTTGACTTTTCTATAATGTTTTGAAAGGGATCCTTATGTCATTGCTGTTAAGCCTGTGTTTCAGACGAAAACGTTGCCTCCAGTTCAGTTGCTGTTGGTCATGTTAGTATAAGTATTCGATTGGGAGTGTTGGTATGTACATGTGTGTGCACGCACACCACACACACACACGTGCGGGTATGTGTTATTAGGTCACATGAGTTTAGAATATTTACGTCTCCTTGACATCGATTCTTTGGTCCTTCCGAAATCTGCTCTATTATCTGCATCAGCGCTGCCCGCCCCGAAGTCTTATCCACCTGACATTACTATAGGTACGTCAGTGTGTTCTCAAGTGGTGTTCGCATGGTTTTTCTCCTTCTCTCTGTTTTTCTGCCTTTCCGGGTCCTCATGTTCAGGGCGTGTCTCTGACAAACGTCATGTCATCATATCTTCTCCTCTGATCGTCCTCACGTTCTAATTGGCATATTTGTTGGGAAGGATATCCTTCAGTGGATTATGAATAACATTTGTGCTTTAGTCTGCCATTTGCTGTTTATTTTCAGTTCGTCCCACCAGCCTGTATTCTTCTTTTTCTCCATTTAAAAAAAAAATTGTTTTTGGCAGGGGAAGACTCATCAGTTAGTTTTATTTCTACTTTTCACCCCCGTCCACGTCTTTTCTCTCTTTCCTGGTGGTCACCCCGCTATCACCAGGCGCATCTTCCCCTCGCCAGACCCCAGCGTGCCCAGGTATCCCCACCGCGTCTGGGCCGGTGTGAGGAGTCTTCGAAGTATCTCGTCCTAGATTTTAGTTCTTCCCGTTTCTTAAGCCACTGAGACCTAGAAGAGACTCTGTTGTTATTTGAATTCCCTGCATGTCTGCACTGATTCTTTCCTGGATTTGCATTCTTCTCAGGGACCAGGGACATGCACAGAGTTCTCCCAGCGTGGAACCGTGTTCTAGCTCACCTCCACTGTTGTGGGAACTGTCCACGGACCACGGGGTCACTTCTGCCCACCGCCCCCAGTTCCACTGCCTTCTCTCCGCATGTCCTTGGAGCTCCGCTGTCCTGTGCCTGGGGCTCCTGTGGCCGTGACATGCGTTCTTCCCTGCTTGGGTTTGTGTCTCTGTCTCTGTTTTCCGCGGTCGAGCTGGGATGTGCCGGGGCGTGGCTTTCTCCCTGGTACCCGGGCCCTGGATTCTGTAGCCTGCCGGCTTTCTATCCGGTCTGGAAAATGCTTGGCCAGTAGCTCACCGGTGTTTCTGGTGGCCCGTGCCCCGTCTTCTGGGAGCATCGGCACACACGTGGTAGACCTCTTGGTGGTGTTCCAGCACATCTGTTCCAGATACTAGAGGATACCCTGTAGGGTCGGGGCTGGAGACGAGTTACCTCTTGATAACTGTGTCTTCTCACCCCACCTTCTTTCCCGTGTGGGCGAGTGGGGGACCGGGGCACAGGCAGGGCAGGTACAAGCGTGTGGAGCTCTGCTTTTCGCCCAGGCACAGGAAGCACGGATCGCCGGTGGGAACAGGCTCTGTACGTTCGAATCCAGAGCCCTTACTTTACCATGACCTTGAGCGACTTGCCTCACTTCCCTGTTCCATCTGTTCCTTATAAAATGGGGATAAAGGACACGTTTCCTAATGTGGAGAGTAGTAAATGAAATAAAGCACTTGGATCAGTACTCGGCCCGTAGCAGCATTCAGTAAGGTTAACTGTGGTGCTCGATCTTTTTTATTTTTTTAAAAACTATTTATTTATTTGAGACAGAATGAGCAGAAGCAGGGGGAGTGGCAGGCAGAGGGAGAAGCAGGCTCCCCGCTGAGCCCGATGCAGGACTCAATCCCAGGACCCTGAGATCATGACCTGGGCCGAAGGCAGACACCTAACCGACCGAGTCCCCCAGGCGCCCCTCGATCTTACTATTACGTTGTCACTGCCTGCTTGTCCCTTGCCCACCCAGTGTGAACAAGCTAGTCGGCCGCTCGTGTCCACGGGGGACAGGCATGCAGGAGCGAGGCTGTGCGCTCAGGGCGGCAGCTAGGGTCATCCCTCCCTGTTCTGTGCTCTGCGCGGTCCTTCCCTGCACGGGTCTGCCGCGTTCTGGGGCTTTGGGGGGGCTCCCGGGGCCCTGGTGGCTGACTCTGACCTTCCCCCTGCAGTACGGGATGCTACTGTACCAGAACTTCAGGATCCCACCACCGCGGAAGGCCTTGCTCCCCTCCTTCTCCACTCCGGTGGTGAGTACGGCTGTGCGTCCAGAAGGCGGGCTCCTTCCCAGCATCACAGCTGAGCGCGGGTTGTTTCAGGAGAAGTTGTCCCCAGAAGCGGCAGAATGGGCTTGTGCGTGCTGCCTGGTCCCCTGCGGGGAGACGGGTTTCGTCAGCAGTGTGACTGCTGGGGACGGATCCTGCACCATTCAGGGCGATGGCTCTGCTCAGGTGCTCAGGGACTGTCACCAGCCACATCTGGCTCTCGCCCGGGTCGCCCGTGGCACTGTGGGCGCGGCCGACCGTTAGGCTGGAGCCTTCCCTGGTGGGAACTTAGAGCTGGCAGCAAGTGTCCTTGTTCTCAGGATGAGCTCTACTTCCCAAAGGTGCTTCGTCCTCTCAAAACACGACCTTGATGCTCCTCCAGGTCTGTTCCTGGGAGAGGCCAGGTGTCCACAGGGAGGATCCGTGTGTCGCCCTGAACGGAACTCCTGGGGGAGGGACTTGGTGGCTGCTGAGGCCTGAGCGTCCGCCCAAGCCCGGTGGCACCCCACGGCCTCCAGTGGCATTTGGATGCCACCAGGGGACTGGAGCATTTCTTATTCCCCTCAAGAGAAACCAAAGCCATCTTTAGTTCAAGGGCCCTCCTGCCACCAAATTTCTACCCGAACCTTAGAGTGGGGGCTGGGGCGTCCCCATCACCCCTTCTCCTAGCCATCTTCAGGACGGGTTTGCACCAACTTTCCCAAGTGCCGCGGGGGCCTGGTTCCCTCCATTTTAAGAACTTGTGGCCTTTCCTTCCAGCGCAGCGTCTCTGAGAACTCCCTCGTGGCGATGGATTTTTCTGGGCAGACAGGAAGAGTGATCGAGAATCCGGCCGAAGCCCAGAGCGCAGCCCTGGAGGAAGGCCACGCCTGGAGGGTAAGGCCGTGGCCAGTCCCGTGGACGGGCCCCCTCATGGGGGGCACGCCCCCCACATACTGGTCTCCCAGAAGAATGGCCCTGTGGGTGCCGTCGTTGGGGGGCGAGGTGCTGGGGAGGGGGGAGGGTGGCATCTGAGTCTCAGCTCGGGGCTCCTCCACGTTCCTGGCCCCCACGGCCCCCACTGGCTCCCGTGGGAGGAGTGGGGCAGGAGCAGAGCCCTCTGGCCTCATGGCTCCTGCACAGAGCTGCTCCCGCTGGTGCGTGGTCAGTGGCCGTGTGTGGACAGCGCAGAGCCCACCCACCCTGATGAGGCCAGCAGGCGCTCACGTCGTGGCTCGACCACTAACCAGCTTCGTGGCCTCAGACGTTCTCTTCCCTCGGAGGTCCGTGCTCCTGACCTCCCAGCGGGAAGAGCGTCACCCTGATTTCAAATTCTCTGAGATTTACAGAGAACGTACAAAACCTGAGCCCGCCACTCTGGCTCAGAGAGTTCCCTGAACTGTAGCTTCAGAGCGGGTTGGAAAAGAACGGCCCCACAGCCTGGGGGCTCTGTAGGCCAGTGTTTTCAGTGGAGAAGCTCATGCCTTTCTCTCAGAACTTACCAGCAATTTCACCGTGTGTCTTCTGTGTGCTTCAGTCCTGGAATCATCCAGATTCCCCAGGATGCCTCTGTTGTCACAACTGCGGTCAGGCAGGGGGCGGCCTCCGCTGGCTGTCCTCCACAGCCAGGGGCCCCATCACCCCGGCCAGGCCTCCCCGCCACGTGTGTGTCCCCGGTGGCTGGTGGGCCGTGTCGGTCTGCTGTCTTAGCGCTCACACGGGCATTTCTTCCGCAGAAGCGAAGCACACGGATGAATATCCTAGGCAGCCAAAGTCCTCTCCACCCTTCTACCCTAAGTACAGGTAAGTGCAGCATGGCGGCCCGATCCTTCAAGAAGTAAGGAAGATGAAACCGCTCCCATCCCTCCCGGAGCTCCCCCAGACCGCCCGGGCCCGGCGTGCGCCAGGAGAGGTGTAGCCGTGGGAACCGGTCCCCGAGCTGATCGCCGGTTCGCTGTACCTTCGGCGAAGCCAGTCTAGCCTCCTTCTCTCTTCCCTCCCGCAGTGATTCATAGGACACAGCACTGGTTTCACGGCAGGATCTCCAGGGAGGAGTCCCACCGGATCATTAAGCAGCAGGGGCTGGTGGACGGGTAAGGAAGCGCCGGCCTGGAGAGCGGGCAGCTGCCTAGGTGATGTTGTGCTGGGCGCACGTTCTGTCTGGTTTCTCAGCGATCCTGGGGGGCGCGCAGTCGTTAGAGCCTCGATTTAAAGAGGAGAGAATGTCGGGGCACCTGGGTGGCTCAGTCGTTAAGTGTCTGCCTTCGGCTCAGGTCATGATCCCGGGGTCCTGGGATCGAGCCCCGCATCGGGCTCCCTGCTCCGTGGGAAGCCTGCTTCTCCCTCTCCCACTCCCCCTGCTTGTGTTCCCTCTCTCACTGTCTCTCTCTCTCTATCAAATAAGTAAAATCTTAAGAAAACATAAATAAAGAGGAGAGACTGTGGCTCAGGCTCAGTGTGGTGCGGGGTGGGCTCAGCTAGCCAGTGGCAAGAGGGGGATGGCAACCCATTCCATCCATATAACATCTGTTACCAACTTCTGCCTTTTTGTTGCAGTTCAGAGGGCCTCAGAGTACAAGCCGGTTATTTTTCATGCTTCCCATATTTTTCAACAAGGCAGGGGCAAACGGAAGAAAAATGTTTCTGTTTACATTTTATCGGGTAGCTTTTGCTGAGAACAAACAACCCAAACCTTGGTGGCTTTAGGCCACAGAGTTGGATCATTTCCTACAGTTGGAGTCAGTGGAGCGTGTCCTCACCTGGGCCAGCTCGGCTGGGGTTGGTGTGGCTGTTGGCTGCAGAGATGGGGCGACTGGGTGTGTGCCAACAGGCTAGCCTGGGGACACTCACGCCGTGGCGGTCACGGGTCCCAGGAGTAAGAGAGATCAAACCCCAATGCACAGGACCTTCTCAGGGCTGATACCCCATCGGCCGAAGCACGCCCCGCCCCGCAGCCTCGCTCCCATGGCCGTGGGAAGGGCTGCCCAGGGACCTGGATGCAGACCGGGGTCCTCGCTCCCCGCTCCCAGCAGGAGGCGCACTGCCCTTCATCTGTTAAATGTTTTGCTATAGAAATTTAAAAATTTGCCCAGGAGAGAAGAGGATAGTGAGCCCCCACGTAATCCTTGTCTCGTTTTGACAGTTTGCTAATTTTAGTTTGTCTGTGCCCCTTCCCAAGTGATTGGCTCCTCCACACCCCCTTCTCCTTCTGGAAGATTTTAAAGTAAATCCCAGACATTCTAAATTTTTACCGGTAAACATAGTTAGTGTGTCTCTAAAACATAAAGACCCTTGTCTTCTGACACAACCACAAAATCACTGTTATTCTTAACGAAATAAGCAAGAATTCCTTAATATCATCTAAAATCCAGTCTGGGTTCAAATTTCCCTAATTGCTGTGAAAAGAAAAAAAAATCCTTTAAATCGAGTTGGTTCAAATCGGGACCGACAGATTGCATTTGGTTGATAGGTCTCTTGAGTGTCCTCAGATATGATGGTCTCCCCCTGCTTTCCTTCTCTTTCTCTTGTTCGCCTGTTATTAGTTGAAGTAGTGGGTGAGTTCCTAGCCACAAACGTAGCTGAACGCTTAACTTTTCCCTCAAGTAAGAGGGTCAGTTTGGAAAAGAATGATTTGGTCTTCTACCACCTTCCCGTAGTGACAAATGAGCTGTTGTTCATTTAAACTGTGATTATGTACTTAGATTCTTAAGCATTGGACTTATTTCAGTCAAAACTTACTACTTTTGATGCTCAGCGTGCTGCCCTCTCTTTGGCCAACAGGACTTGTTCGAGTTGGTCCCTGGTTCTTTGGACCCACCACGAGCAGTGTTGGATTCCAGGTGTGACGAGAGAATGTCAGAGCCTCCTTCTTTCTAGTGGGAAATGGTGTCTGGACACCACAACCTATAGGCCTTCTCCAGGGAGAGAGCTAGGACGTAGGCTTTTTTTTTTTTACGGTGAAAAAGAAAAATTTGAAACCCTTTCTTTACAGGGTTCACACTGATAAACGGCCAGATCAGCTGGAAGAGTACCGGGTTTTTACTTTGATTTGACTGTATTTCTCTTCTCTTACTTCAAAAATCTTACTAAAGGTATAATCATTTGTAAATACTTATTTTCCCTCTGTCTTATCACATCTGGAAAATATTCATGCGGTCCTCGTAATCCTGAAGGCACGTGCCAGGCAGGTCGTGTTCAAGCACCACGTTTAAAGCCTTTCCTCTCTGGGGTTCTGAAAGCAAAGCATTATGCAGTCCGTGAGGTTCATTTGTCTCTGTTTGGTTTTGATTTTTGTCAGTGGATCTGATTTGTTTTCCCTTCGGCTTAATGCTTCCTGTTGAATTCTGTAAAACACTCCCCCCGGTTCGAAAGTCAGAACAGTGAAACCAGGCGGATTCCCCGCGGACTCTCCTCTGCCCCCCGGGACTCCCCCACGCTCAGAACCCATTTTTGTGGGGTCTGTTCTTCCTCCAGTTGTTTTCAGTTTGAAGGTAAGCAGAGCGTTTCTGCCTCCTGTTGGGCCCCCCCGGAACACACGTACAGCGCCGAGTGTCAGGTGCACCTGCTGTGGGAGGGTCCCCGAGCCGCCGGTGGGGGTCTGCCCTGTCTCGTGCTCAGGGTTTCCGGGCTGACGGCGGGACACCTGGGGCGCCATCGCTTCGTATTCCGGCTGGTGTCTCTGCTGGTGGTCCCCAGACATGTGGGCGACGGCTTCCCCACGGCTTCGCAGGCTGCAAGGGGGTGTCTTGTCTTTCTCATTTGCCATTGGGGAGGCCAAGCCTCTTTCCAAAACGTAAGGCCTCGGGCCTTTCTTCTTTTTTGCCTTTCTGAAAACTGTCTATATATTTTGCCCAATGTTCTCCATCTGTTTTTTTGTGAACATTCTTTCCTATGTCATGTGGCGTTTTAATTTTGCTTATGGCTTGTGTTTGTTTCCTGTTTGGTTTGGGTTATACGGACTTTTTTTTTTTTTTCCTCCCCCCGAAGGGGTTATACAGACTTTTGAACGTAAATTTTACATGGGCACATTTATCCTTTGTGCCCCTCTTCCTTCTGGATTTTTGAGTCCTTGTCATGTTTTGGCCACTCTGAAATCATAAAGGCGTTTCTTCCTGCTCTGTTCTAGGACTCACGCTGTCTCTCTTCTTTCCCCCTGTCTTTGTTCTTCGCCTTTTCTGTCCATGTGTCTGTTTTTGTTTGTCTAGATCCCAGATACATTCAGCACGTGTTTATCCTGGGACGCTGTGTAAACAATGAGTCCTATTTATCTTTTCTATGTGGTTATAACCTTATTCCAAAATTACTTACTTGAAAGGTCACCCATATCCTGCAACAGTGCTTTGCTGAAGCATTAGAAACGAGTCCGTTTGCGGCCATGAGCAGCCGCGTCAGAAGGGAGCCCCACGGTGCTCTGACGATGTCAGCACGATGGCCACAGGGTCCGTTCCAAGGAAGCCCAGCGGTTCCCTTGCCAGGGGGCTTCATAGTGCCCGTGAAAGTGAGGGTTCCAGAGCGGGTGGGGTTTGGTGTCGTGGCCACTCGTGCCCTTCCCGGGGCCCAGGGCAGTGGTGGTGGCAGCTGCGTCCCTGGGGAGCGGACGGAACCTCGGAGGCCGTGTGGGGACGAGTGTGATCGGAGGAAGCTCCCCTGTGATTCCCAGACGAGGCCCAGCCAGGCCCACTCCGCCTTAAAGGGGCGGCCCCTGTGCGTGGGGACCGTGCGATCGTTCAGCACACTCGGGCCACCACATTGTGTGTCTGCACCTGTTTTGTTTTTTAAAGCTTTATTTATTTATTTGAGGGACACGGCACGACCCGGGGGTGGGGGCAGAGGGAGAGGGAGAAGCAGAAGCAGGCTCCCTGCGGGGAGCCCGATGTGGGGCTCGATCCCAGGACCCTGAGAGCATGACCTGAGCCGAAGGCAGACGCTTCACGGACTGAGTCCCCCAGGCGCCCCATGTTGGCACCTGGTTAAAAAAAAAAAAAAAAAAGTTTGTCTTTCACCACTTCCTAGAATCCTTGTTGGCAAGGTTGCTGTCCTTTCAGGCCTGGAGACGAGGATATGCGTCACCTCTGTCACCTTTCCTCCCCCAAACCAGCCCTCCGGCTGGCATCTGCCCCATTAGTAAGCAGGGGTCTCTCTCGCGCGTAATCTTCAGTCCCGATGTCAGGCTGGCGAAGACGAGAATCAGGATAATGGGACCCCTTCAGGTGTCATCACAGTGAGGCCAGACTTCCGTGGATTCCGGAGCACTTAGGGAGGCAGTGTGTTGGGAAAACAAGGTAGATGAAATGATCAGTTCCTAATCTCGACTGATCCCTGCAGAGAGATAATGAAGGGAAACCCATTTAGAGAGTCCAGCAACGCAGAGAAAATGACTGAACGTAAGCCCTAGCCTCAGATGACACAGGGAGTCAGCAAAAGGGGCCGGAAGGAGACAACGGAACCTGGAGTCGATCCGAGACAGGTCTTTGAGATCCCTGGTACCCAGGTGCCCTGAAATCGCGGCCCACCTCCTTCCCCTCTTGCACCACAGCCTGGAGGCGGCGGATTCTGCCAATCTAGGGCAGATCTGGTTCTGTGGTCTGCTCTGCGAAATGCCCCCCGGTGGCTGACGTGCTCTCCTGCAGCATTTCCGGCTCTGTCCCCCGCCCTCCGCACCCTGGCCTTGCTTTCGCTCGGGTCCAGCCCCACCCACCCCTCTGCGGCCCCCAGTCCCCCAGCTCTGTGCTATTGGTGAGCCCAAAGGAGCATGCCACTCCTCCGCTGGGTGGAAGGAAACTTCTTTGTCGAGATCTGAGTTCTCTGCAGCTTTTCCGCCCCTCACCACGCCCCCCACCCCCATGGCAGAGAGAGAGGGGCCGTGTCCCAGGGCTAACCCAGCGCCCCCATCGGCACCATAACAGGGCTCGCCAGCCACGGAGGAACCGTCCGTACACACCTCCTCAGATTTTACCTGTGGCCCTGTTGATCCTGGAAGCCAGGGTTCCTCCATGATAAAGGCTGGCTGTGTGACCCTGGGGAATTTGCTTAACTTCTCTGTGCCCCGCTCCCCTCAGCTTGAAATGAGAACAATGACAGGGTCACCGCGGGGACTAAAGGAGTTGACGCGTGCGCAGAGCCTCACTCATGACCTTGAGCCGTGTTGCTCCGTGGACCAGTGTCAGCCCCTGGCACAGGCCCCTCTCTGCTTCAGGAGCCCGCTGGTGAGCACATTTGCAAGGGCTCCCCCCGGACGCGGTCCTCACCGCTTTCCTTCCTGCGCTGCATTCCAGATTTCTTCCTTTCTTTCTTAATTTTTTTTTAAAGACTATTTATTTGCCAGAGAGAGAATGAGAGAGAGGGAACACAAGCAGGGGCAGAAGCAGACTCCCCGCTGAGCAGGGAGCCCGATGCGGGGCTCGATCCCAGGACCCCGAGATCATGACCTGCGCCGAAGGCAGACGCTTCACCCACTGAGCCCCCCAGGCGCCCCTGTGTTCCAGATTTCTTGACCTGGCCGCGTCACCAGGCACGTGCGGTCCTCCTGGGACCTGTCCCTGCAGAGGTCCCTTGGGCCATCAGCGGGTCTCTGCGGTTTGTGGATGGCGATCCCGCGGGTCCTGCGCTGTCGTGCATGGCTCCGTGTCCTCGGCAGCCAGGCTCCTCGTCGGGCTGCTGGACGGGTGTTAACGTGCTGCGCAGCCCGGGGTGGAGAAGGCCAGTCATGGAGCTGATCGGTGGCAGGTCAGGGAGTCCTGCGAACTCCTGAGCCACACGCTCTTCAGCCCACAGGCTCCTCCGAGTTAGTCATCTTTGCAGACAGCCAGCCCTTGGGCATGACCTCGAAATCCCAAGCATTTGGGGAGGCCTCAGCACTTGCCAGGGTCCTACCCTGGAGGGAGGCTGCCAGGCAGAGCCTTCCTGCCCCTCTGGCTCCTCCGGGGTCACGTTCAGCAGCTGTATGCACCTGTCTGCAGCAGGCAATGGTCGGGAGCTAACTAAGGTGACAGGAAAGACAGGGACAGGCCAGCCTTTCCTGTCGCACAGCCTGGTGTCCAGGGAGCTCCCAGGTTTCTGCTGGAATGGCGGCTTCTTTGGAATGAAATAACCCAGAAGGCAGATCTTTGAGGAAGACAACTGGGGCGTGCAGCTCTGCCCAGGAGAGGGGGGGAGACCCCCCCCGGCCCCTCGAGGTGTCGCGTGGCAGATGCCCCACACCTACTCCCCACGCGGGGCCTGCGATCCTCAGCGCTGCCCGCCTCCCCCGCCCCACGAGTCGTGGGGCTCCGTTTTCCCAGACGGTGTTTGCAAAAACCTACCTCCTGGGAACGCTGGAGCGAAGGGGTGTGTGGGCACACAGGACTGGAAAACCCTGTGCTCGAGCCCCTAGGCGCCCACAGTGGGTATTCCCATTTAAAGGCTCTGAGAAGCCCTGTAGTAAAATAAAACACCCGTCCGCCTTTTTCATGCAGGACTTGGCCGTCCCGGGTAGCTGCTTCCCACCTTAACAGTAGAGTCCAGAAGCAGATGATGGCGCTGGTGACGGTCGTTTGGTTTGAACACGGCTCTTTGTCACGTGGATTCTGGCATGGGGGCTTTTTCCTCTTCCTTTCTCAGGGACACCTGGCCCTACTTCGTTGTGCTGTTTGGATTTTTATGTACTTTTTATCCTGAAATAAATTTGCATTGTGGGAAAGTTGCTAAATCATATAATGAACTCATGTGTGCATTTTCTCAGATTCCCCAGCTGTCAATATCAGGGCTCGTTTGCTTCAACGTAGGCTCCTTTCCTCCCTCCCTCCCTCCTTTTTTTGTCTCAACCCTTTGGGAGGAAAGTTACAGAGAGCAGGAGGTCTCTTGATTCCTGCTTATTTCAGTAGAAAATTTGTAAGACCAAGGACTTCTCTTCCATAATAACAACTTCCTGTAGTACCGTTGTAAAAATCAGGAAGTAGGGGCGCCTGGGTGGCTCAATCAGGTAAGTTTCTGCCTTGGGCTCAGGTCATGATCAGGGTTCTGGGATCAAGTCCCGTGTCAGGCTCCCGGCTCAGCCCGCTTCTCCCTCTGCGCCTCCCCCCTGCTTTCACGTGCTCCCTCTCCTCTCTCTCTAATAAATAGATTAGGTAGCTAAAACCTTTATTAAAACATTAGGAAGTAAACATCCATGTGGTTCTGATCTCAAATGCACACACTTATTCCAGTGCTGCCCGTGGTTCCAATTACAGCCTTTGTGGAAAAAGAAAACAACGTCTTATTTCTAAATACGTCTATGGGGGCGCGTCTCTTTAGGCTTTGTCCTTCGTGGACACTTGTTACGTGAAGAAGCCAGTTGTTACAGGGTGCGCCTCAGCTGGGGCGCGTCCGGGGGCTCGGCCGGGTCGTCACTTTGCAGGAGGGGACGTGGAGTCCCTGCTGGCCGGGCAGGGTCGGTGGATTGTCTCGTTTCTGGCGGTGCTGCCTCTCGAACACTCGGTGGTGAGGACATCGGCGGGTTTCTCTGATGGACAGTCGCTGTGTTTCCCTTTGTAATAAATAAGTACCAGGGGGGTGATGGTTTGAGAATGAAATACTCTGTTTCTCGTTCGCTCCCTTTGACGACCTTGTCCTTAATCGGTGGCAACCCACGGCAGTTGCCAGACAGTTGTGCACCCATCATTCCTTCCTGTTTGTTTAGCTGCCCTTCTACTCTGAGGAAGAGCTCTTTCTTCTCCTCTCTTAATGTACTTGCTCATTTATTTATAATATCGGTGTTTACTCACGGATTCCTGTCTCTTTTCTCTGGGTTCTAATCTCCTTTTGATAGTTACTGTGTGCTGCGTCCTGGGTCATGACGCTTTGAACTTTGAACTTGATGTCTTTGCGGCTCACATTGTCCAGCCGCTTCGTGTCCTTGCCCGGCCGTGGCCCCAGAGTGCTTTCAGTGGAGAACGACAGGAATCCGTCCCCAGGCGTCCTGAACCGTCATGGCTGCACGAGCCGGGAAACATGCATGTGTGTGTGTGAGTGTCTGAGTGTGCGTGCAGATAGACAAACACACATCTCAAGTCCGGATTTTTAAAAATGTACAATCAGCTGATTTTTTTTCCATCCCCAGGCTTTTTCTCCTCCGAGACAGCCAGAGCAATCCAAAGGCTTTTGTGCTCACGCTCTGTCATCATCAGAAAATTAAAAATTTCCAGATCTTACCTGTAAGTATTGATAACTTCTCACTGAGCCTTGTTGTTGTTTCCTGGGTTTATTCTGAATGCAGTTTTCAAATCCTAAATGCACCAAACTACAGGTCGTTAAATATCAGACAGGTCCAAGCTGACCGGAGAGATGCTTCCCAGAGTCCCTTAAGAGGTTTGTTCTTTGAAATTGGGAGCACACCTCCCAGAATGCACCATTCGGGTGGGGGGTAACGTATACAAAGTTGATGTCAGATGTTTCGCATAATTAACTGATACAGTCTGCAGGTCATAACGTTCCTGAAATGTTTCCTGTGGGGCCCAAACCCGGGCCATGTTCTGCCTAAAGAGGGTGGTGAGGTCTTTTCCCCTCAGAGATCCTCTCTGTCCAGTAGCAAAGGAAAGCTCCGGAAGGCTCGGTGTAACCAGACACACCTGTTTCACACCGTTGCACCTGCTGTTTCTGAAGCTTGCTTGAGCCCAGGGCTTTGGCGTCTCAGGAATCCCGCAGCAACAGGAGCGGGAGGAGCCCAGGGCAGTCCGGGTAGCTTTTCTGGTGCCTTCCAGCTACGTCCCGATGATGCCCTCACTCTGCCCATGACCCTGGGCCAGGCTTCCCAGACTCCCGCCCCCACGTTGTATTATTGACACACATGTTCTCGTTCCTCTTAGCCTCAAATCAAATGAAAACCTGTTTTATGGCGGGTGGCGTGGGTACTGCCCATCCTCCCACATAACCCCAAATTCTGGAAGCATCAGAGGGATAGTAATTGGAGACTTGAGAGCAACAAGACTTGAAAACGGGGTACGCTGGTGCCTCTGGAAGCTTTTCTGAGTTTATTAATCAGGAGAGGTTTGAAACCAACCTGCTCCGTGCTCACCCGTTCACACCGCACTGCAGTCCTTGAACTTGCCATTCTCCGGGTTCAGACCGGCCTTAGGAATGTTGCTCCTTCTGGAAGCTACCATGGGGTCCCTCCATTTTGATGGAAATAGCTACCCAACATGGCAGGACCTGGGAAAACACTTTTCGTACCTGCTCTCACCAGTCCCTTGCAGGGACCCCATAGTTGCACTGTTTGTCCCCAAGGATGTGGCCCCTAACTCGGCGAGTGTTCTTGTGTCCCTCTAGTGCGAGGATGATGGGCAGATGTTCTTCAGCCTTGACGACGGGAACACCAAATTCTCCGACCTGATCCAGCTCGTTGACTTTTACCAGCTCAACAAAGGAGTCCTACCTTGCAAACTCAAGCACCACTGCATCCGAGTGGCCTTATGACCTCACATTGACTCTTGGCTGATGACGGGAGGAAGCTGACACTGGAACGGGGATGGGGGGGCGGGGGGGGGTTGTGCGTCGCCAAGGACACACGTCTGTTCTGCACCCCGGGGAGCGGGGTCCGTTGGGGCCCACCCACCAGGATGGACTCGTGGCTGGACTCGAGGAACGATTTGCTGCTGCAGAGCCGACGGGACCGCCTCCCTCCGCGCCGGCCAGGTTCGGGGAGGCGGGAGAGAGCGAACGCAAAATGGAGGAAAAAAACGGGATCGATCGTCTTGGCTGGGCCACGTAGGAACGAGAACCGGAGACACGTAATTGGAAATGAACTCTTGCCCTGGAATAATCTTGACAATTAAAACTGATATGTTTACTTTTTTGTATCGATCACTTTTTGCACTCCTTTGTTTTCAATACTGCTCTCGGCCCCGGTAGGAGGGGGTGCGGCTCTCCGGTGTGCGAGCGGGACACAGGGACTGCGGCCAGGGGGCAGACTCCAGAGACTGAAGCCGGGCCCCCAGGGGTTTCCAGAGGGTGGTACCCACCCTGTGCAGGTGACTGGAGTCGGGTTCATTCGGCTCCCAGGTAACAAACCACCCTCAGCCCTCCCCGGAACACTTGAAGTGCTTTTTTTTTTTTTTTCCAATAAAAGGTGTCATCTGTGGTAGGCATCGGGCCCGTGGTGTGAACGCAGTCAGGTACCCACTGCCGTGTGCACAGAGGCTCCCTACACCTGTTACAGGTGTGCCCTCCACTGTTCAGGAGGCCTGGGTGCTCTGGAAAGCTTGTTGGCCCACAGCATGGCAGGGCTGAGTGGCCTCGCCTCTAGCTAGACGTGGGGAGCATCGCTGGGATTCCCCCCCCAAAGCACCCAGTGTTCACCACCCCCTCTCAGCCTGTTGTAGAGCAATCGCTGCCTTAACCCCTCACCCCCCACGGTGGCTTGGGGACTTTCCCGGCTGTTCTCCCTCCAGGGGTTAAAGGCCCTAAGACGAAAATGGCCCCTGCTTGGCTGCCGGTGGTGGCCCGCAGGTTTCCATGGCGATAAAGACGTAAACGTTGGAAAGGGCACATCTGCAGCCCGGCACGGAAAGGTCCTCGCTCGATGACCTCCACCCTGCTGAAAACCCCCATGAGCCGGCCCAGGCGGAGGCCCCCCCCTTGGCGGGCTGGCACTCAGAAGTACCTCACGGCCCTTGTGGGCGTTGAAGAGTCTGGTCAACACAACACTGCTTCCCCCTGGCGGGGGGTGCGGGGGGTGCTGAGTCACACAGTGGCTGGACCGCCCCCCCCCGCCCCGTCCCCTTAGCTGAGTCACCAGGTGTGACAGGGGCCGCGGCTTTACCTGCAGTCTCTGCAAAGCAGAAAGGTCTCCCCTGACGGGCCTGGGAGATCTGGTCCCCCCAGTGCCTGACTCTGATTCTGCCGCACCGCCCTGCCCCCCCCCCAGCAAGCACGCCCCCGGGTGGGACCCCCGGGACCCGCCTTGGTGGCACTGCCGCGCTCTAAGCACCTCGAGGGTGTAGAAACACTGTATTTTAGTTTACAGGCCTCACTCTGCCTGTTTTCCATGAAACGTCTACTTACACAAATGCAGAATTTTTAGTAAGCTGTTGTTCACCGTAAACGCACTCAGTCACGTTTTCTTCCTCTTGTAGCCGGGTGACCTTTCAGACCGCCGCCGGTCAGCTGAGTCCTGCCTGGCCGCAAGCTTCCAGGGCGCCCCCCCTCGGAGGGGCTCTTCAGTTACACTGTTAAGACATTTTTCTCTTCACTGGTTGGAAGTAGAACCTGAAAGCGAGTCTACGATTTCTGTGTTTCTCGGTGCGTAGCCTGGTGGGATGAGACTCACACCCCCCTCCGCTCGACAGCTAGCATCCCCAGCATCTCGTATTTATAAACGTGCATTTTATTTAAAAGGAGCACGAAAGCTGGCCTCTGACTCACGGTCTGTGTGTAGCTGGGTCGACGTCATTTTCTGTACCTTCCCGGCCACGGTGAAATGCCGGGTGGAGGGTGGGAGCCCGTGCGCCTGGTGGCTGGGAATCCCACCTGGAAGCAGCCAGTCCCTCAAGGATGCGGGCGCCCGGCCCAGCCAACCAGGGGCTGAAGGATGGTCAAATTTATTTTTGTATTTAAATGACATGAATGTAAATGGAACAGCTCAGGGTCGTTTTGGAGCCTGTTGACTTTCTCTCTCTCTGCCTGTGATTTTCTTTTCTAAAAGGAAAACCCCCCACATAGCAGCCTGGACTTATTGGAAAGGAAATACCCAATGCTTTGGGTATTTGGAGTTTAAATAGGTGAGCTCTGTTACCTTAGGTCTTCGAGTTCCGGAACGTTGTTTTGTTCGGTAAACCTTGGAGAAATAATGTGCCTCAGTCTAGCTGTTTTGTCTTCTCTTTTCTGCACTTAATACCTGACGGTTTGACCAATTGATGCACCTGTCCGGGGCGGGACCTGCTTGCGGCGGATCGTGACGTCACCGGGCAAGCTCGCGGTGACCGTAACACGGCCTGACGTGTAGACCGTTTCAGGGAATGCAGAAGGTATCAAAGACAAAACCTTTATTCCACGTGCTTTGCCCCTTTCTGTACATAGCTCTTCGGCTTGTGAACCTAAATGTAAACCTTCAGGTATTTTTGTACACACGAGGGACTGATGTTCTGTTTCTTGTAATTAGAAATAAACATTACTACAGTGTTCTTCATTTTCCACTGCTCGTATGTCTGTTTCTGTACTTTGGAACACTCCAGTGGGCCCGCCCCTGAAAACCTTTGGAAATAACGTGGAATAGCAACAGTGCGCTTTCTTTGCACTGGTTAGACACTAGCTGAAAAGGAGTTGACCTGTGACACGCGGGCTGGGTGGCTCCGTGTCGCTGCAGGATGACCTCAGCCGTCTCTTCTCCCTGCCACCCGCACTGCAGAGTGAGTCAGAGCTAGTCCTCTTTCCACTCAGATTTCGCAAACACCTCAAGGAACTCCTAAAAGTTTGCCTTTGAGAAATCCGGTGGCTTTGTTAGCGCTGCAGTGGGACCATGACAGTGGGTCAGATCCGGGTTTTCTAGTCAAATAAACCGACAGGAGGATGGAGAGAATGGATGCCCCGTGTCCCTGCTTCCCCCTGATCTCACCAGTGGGACTAACTCTTCTCCCTGCCTCTGGTCACACACACCTTCCAGACAAACCGCCCAAAATGATACGTTAATTGGCAATAGAACATTTTTCCCTTGGTTGTTCTATTGCAATTTACCACGGTGTCATTTTGGGCAGTTACGGGATTTTGTTCTTTGAAATAAGAGTGACGACAGATTGTGTCCGAAAATAAAAGCCCTGTTGTAACTATATACTCAAACACACACACAGGCCGAGGTGTGTACCAGGGCCGCAGCAGAGAGTGCTCGGGGGCGCTCTGAGTCCAGCTGGGGGATCCCTGTGTGAAGGATGAACGTGGAGGTGACCAAAGGCAGACGGACAGCACAGCCTTCTCTAGGTGCGTGCTGTCCAATACGATACCACCAGGCGCACACACCTGTTCAAATTTAAATTTCAATTAATAAAAATAAAATGAGACATTCAGTTCAGGTTGCACCAGCCCCATTTTTAAGTGCTCAACAGCCACAAGGGGCTAGCGACCACCATGATGGACGGTGCGGATCTAGAACACTTCCAACGTGGCGGAAAGCTCCGTTGGACAGCTCCGGTCTCGGTGACTGAGAGCAAAAGCCGACGACGTTACAAAAGTGGAGGACGAGATCGACGAGGGTCCGTCTCTTGTGTCTGGTTGATGCGTCGAATTGGCAAAGCTCGGCCTCAGACCCAAGACTAAGGGTACCCCCCCCCGAAGTCACACCTGTGCCTCCCCCCTCCCCACCCCCAGGTAAGACACACTAGCTTCCCTTTTGCCAACAGAGAAGGACTGTCCACTGCCTTCAGCTTGCTCTGGCCGACCCTGCTTCCCAGTTATAATGGACTGACAGTGGCTTCACGTCAGATGCGTGTGTTGTGTATAAAACTTAACTGTGTTTGCACAGCGCATCCTTCACCCACCCCCTGACGCTTCCCAATCTGATAGCAGCCTGCTCCATGAGCAGATTTCCTGGCCTGAGCCAGAGGTGGGAAGGGTCCGTTTCCTATTGCCCAGATTAGTCCCATTAGTGATTATCTCCCCAGACTCGAGGGTAGCTTTAGTGTGGAAATATAAAGTGTGTGTTTGCACACAAGGCCCCAGAGTGTAAGCAGACACCGCACTGGTGTCTTCCCTCTTTCCCTGCAGGAGTAAGAACGGGCCGTGCAGGGCTTCTTGAGAGACAGGCTTGTACGAGCAATCACATGGGAAGCAGGGATCATTCTTGATGCCTTTCCGTAATTCAAACCCAATCCTGACAGGATGCTGTTCGTGAGCTAAGTCAGGCATCATGAGGAGAGCACCGTGGGGCTTCTCCCAGACCACCAGTTGCAGAAGTACGCACTTCTTGGCCTCGTTTTAATTAAAAGGAGGGGACTTGCATTATTTTTTATTTCATGCAAAAAACGAAGTGGCCTTAATGTTTGTTAACTGCCCTATTTTCGATTTTACATACAATCAGACCGTGCTGTATTTCTGAGCTGGTTGAGATTTTTTCCTAGGGTGATTTGGACACAGATGATATACCTCAGTGCCGTCTGAGTCCTCCTCTAAGATTAGGCTCCACCACCTATACCAAACTTGCTTTCTGACCCTTCTCCCCCAGATAGGTACCTTCGGGATGACTCGGTACGGATGCGTTCCTGGCCTCACTCCCGGAGCGTCTGGTTCAGTGAGGACAGAAGGTGCCATGGGACCAGGCCCCACGTGACTCGGGGTGGCTCCCACCAGGAAGGGGAATTCTAGAGGCTGTCCAGAGAACAGGCCTGTGCCCTCTGCCACGTTTCAGCAGCATAACTTGGGGAGCCATATAACACACCTGTAAAGGGACGCTTTGGAATTCAACCCACACATTCGTCAGACTCACCTCTGGAGCTTTGAGGCTACACACATCTCCAGGCCCCTCTGAAGCTTCTGGAATTAAAGTCTTGGGCGTGGCAATACAGTGCTTGCTTCCAGGCCACTACAGGTAGGCGAGATCATCTCCAGCTCACCGTGGCTCGGGGGATTTGTGGTGCATGCATCTGCCCCATTTTTATCCTTCCCCAACCCATCGGGACTTGCCGACCGCAGGGCACCCCCACCTCACCCCCCGTCCTGCCCTCTGCTAGGCTCAGCTATCCCTCTCCTCTGGAAGGTGGGCCACCCACACCGACTCTGTCCACCTCCCAGGGGAGGCCCCAGTTCCAACAGAAAGTGCCACCTGTAATGCAGTAGCTTGACCATCCTCC